GGCGTGGTAGGTCCCATGGAACCCGACCACCTCAAAGGTGAGGGTCTCCATCCTGTAATTGGTCAGATTCTCGAAGGTGACGGGCAGATCGATCTGCTCGAGCGACACTGCCTGCTTCCTAGGCACAATGCCATGGAAAGGCACCCCGATCGGCCGAATGCGCGACTGGATGATGCCCATGGTGTCGAGCGTCTCGGCGTACATGATATTGAGGCCGCTGCCTCCATCCATCAGCACTTTGGTTATGTGCTTCATGCCGATGATTGGGTCGACCACAAGCGGGTACCTTCCCGACTGCTAGACGCTCTCCGGGTGATTGTTTTGATCAAAGGTGATAGTGGACTCGACCATCGGAGGAAAAAGGGCGTGGCTAGTTTGGCCACGTAGACCTCTCGGTGCGCCAGCTTCTGTCGGTGCTTGGTGTCATAGGCCACCGACCCTCCGAAGATCATGAGGTAGCCCTCCAATGTCGGAAAGCCACCGTCCTTCCCCTCAGCATCGTTTGTCGTTGGCTTAGGCTCCCTCCTCGGCTCCCCCTTGTTGGAGCCACCAGATAGGAACCGCTTCATGAGGGTGTAGTCCTTGTACAGGTGCTTGATGGGGAAGGCATGGTTTGGGCATGGCCCTTCGAGCAGCTTCTCGAAAGGGTCAAGGGTACCCTCGGTGGGCTTCTGATCCCCCTTATAGTCGGCAGCGGCCACAAGCGAGCCCTCGTGCCGCTGCTTGTTCTTCTTCGTATTGGGGTGGTTGGAGGTGCCTTCACGGTGTCCTCGTTCCGCTTGGCCTTGCCCTTGGGGCGGTCGAAGATTGCTCCAACCGCCTCCTCACCGAAGGCATGGCTGGTGGCGATGTCAAGGAGCTCCTTGGTGGTTTGTGGGCCCTTGCATCCTAGCTTATGAACTAGAGACTCGCAAGTGGTCCCGGACAGGAAGGCCCCAATGACATCGGCGTCGGCTACGTCGAGTAGCTCATTGCACTGCCTAGAGAAGCACCGGATGTACTCACGAAGAGTTTTCTCAGACTTTTGTCGGTAGTTCTTGAGATTCTAGGGGTTCCTAGGGTGCGTGTAGGTGCCCTAGAAGTTTTCCATGGAAATCTCCTTTAGGTCCGCCCAACTTTGAATCCGGTTGGGCGGAAGGTGCTCCAACCATGTCCGTGCCGAGTCGGCCAAGAACAAAGGGAGATTGCGGATAATGAAACTGTCACTATCCACGCCATCGGTTGGCATGAAAGCTTGTAATCCTTGAGCCATAGTCCGGGGTTCGTTTCCCCGAAGTACTTCGAAATGTTGGTTGGCGGCCGGTACCGCGGTGGGAAGGGTGCGTTGAGGATGTGCCGACCAAAAGCTTGGGATCTCGGTAGGTCGGGGCTCGGGCTTCGATCCTCGCCCCTGTCGTAGCGCTCGCTGCAACGAGGGTGGTAGCCACGGTTGGCCTCCTCCCTCTGGTCGCCCCGTCCGCACCTATGGGCGTCCAAGGTGTTGCGTGCGTCATGGATGGGACCGATATGCTCGTGTACCAGGACCGTGGCATGCCTCCTACCGTCGTGCGGTGCCTGGTTGGTGGACGAACACATCCCTACCATATCATCCCGAGGGCGTGTGTTGGCTGGCATCGAGCTCGCACCGTAGGGACAACAAGCTTTCCGCCTGCTGCACCGCCGCGCGCTCGAGCAGTGTTTGGATCTCACGATGGGCCCGATGATCTTCAGGCGTCGCGGGCTCCGGGAGCCTTTGGAGCTATGTTGTGGCTTGCATGGGTGAAGCGCAGGAGGCCTCTATCATCCTCGATGATCCTTCGGTTCATGTCACGGGCGATAGCATGCGCAGGGCCACCGTCTCCGCGATGCTCGATCTCACATTCGAGCTCCGCGCGCTCCTGCTCTAGCTGGAGTCGCGCATCCTTGAGCTCCTGTTGCCTTGCCCTTAGCTGTTCCACCTGCATGCGGGGGAGGGCCCCGCATCTTCTTCGACTTTGTCATCAAAGTCATTAGGTGGGGTAACCCCTCCCTCGTGGATGCTTTCGACGCGTCCCTCGGGGTACCTACCATAAAGCATTCTCGTGAGGGGTGATGACTCCCCCTACTGGAGTCAGAGTCAGAGACCGACTCTGGATCTCCCATGATAAGGTCATGGAAAGACTCCGCGACGTAATCGGCCATTCCCACAAATTCGTCATTCGTGGGAAGCGAGTGTATACGCTGTGCCGCAAGCTGACCAATGGTCCTCGCAGCATTACGCAGACCGAATAGGAACGCTGATCGGGGCGTCCCGGGTGAGATATTCCGGGGAGAGCGGCTCTCCTTCGGTAAGCTGCGTTATGACATTGGCGAAGGAGAAGGTGAGGCAGCGCACATCCTCCTAGGACGGCCAGAGTCCTAGGAAGGCATCGAGCTGGCGCTCTAGCCTCCCATAGTTGAAGCCGAGGAACTAGTCGCTACCGGGACATGGGCCTCCGGTGCGCGCAGCTGCAGCTCCTCAAGGGCCTCGACGATCGTCTCGAGGCCGACGAAATGAAGAGGTTGGGTGGGGGTGGGAGCCCATGCCAGCTCTCCCTCCGTCATGACGATGAAGTCCAGGCTCCCCAAGCGCACGCGTGCCCCCGGGACCCAGCTGATGCCATGGCTGGCCATCCGAAGCCTAATGTGGATGTCGAGACGCGCAAAAGCCCCTACCTGGTGCGCCAACTGTTGGTGTTTCGGATCACCGGCTTGTAAATTTCTAACTTGCGCGTCTGGCTCGGATGGTGTGCTCGGAGCACACAAGGATTATACTGGTTCGGGCAGAACGTTCCTACGCTCAGTTTGCTGCTGCTCGTGTTACCGGCACGGTCTGTAGCAGGGGTTACAGATGGGCGAGAGAGGAAATGGATCCCAAGTCTCTGATGAAAGGAATGAAAAGTGCTGAGTCTGGTTAGCTCTGCCGCGCGTGTGTGTGTGCTTGTGCCCGTGCCTCCCCTTTTATAGAAGAAGGGGAGGATACAGATTTCATCGGAGAAAAGAGAGAGAAAGAGAGAAAATCTAGGAGAGGGAGTCCTCCGGGGTTGCCATGTCCCTTGTCCTCTTTATGCGGGTCCCACCGGCGTCGCAGGCGGTGACATGGACAGTTCCACGTCGTGCTCCTGTTCGCCACTAGCGCTATCCCCGGGCTCCGTCATCCAGTCGCGGCGTTCCATTCTGTAGTCGTGGGCGGCGTGGCCGACGGACACCCCTGTAGGGGTTGTACGAAGGTTAGGCGGCACAGCGCCGGCATGCCCATCACGGTTGGCGACGTGTGACCTTGGGCATGGCCCGACGTGGCCGCGGGTCACGTCAAGGCGTGCTTGCCCCCCTTTTCCTGGTGTCAGGAGTTTGACTCAGGGGCCACATGCTTGGTCCCGTAGTGGTTGGGGGCGGTGCAGACCCCGTCGGGCGAGGCGGAACCTGCGCCCCTGGGGTCGGGCGAGGCGGAGTTCGCTCCCGAGGGATCGGGTGAGGTGGAGACCACGCCCTCGGGGTCGGGCGACACGGAGCCATCCCCGAGGGGTCAGGCGAGATGGGGACGCGCCCGAAGGGCTGGGCGTGACGGAACTCGTGCCCTCAGGGTTAGGCGAGGCCCTAGGTACGTCTCTGATCATCTGGGCGGATCGTAGTCACGTGGCCATTATCTCTTGCTCCCGGGTATCTCAAATACCGATACCCGACACCATCCAAGATGCAGTTTTTGAGAGCATTTGAATTTGGAGAAGAAAATACCAATGTGTTTCGGGATTTGAAAGATTACAATGGATCAAATACTGGCATTAATTTTGATGATGATGATTCAGACATACCAAACGACATAGATGTTGATTCTGATGTTCCAGCATATCCTGACGAGGTTTATTTTATTGACTTTTTTGTTTGCTGGTTGCTGTGTTTAGCTATCCAACATTTGGGTAAATATTTCATTTTTTTTCCTCTGTTAAGACTATTGCTGCAACTCCCAATGGTACACTGGAAGACATAGATACACATGCAAGCCTCGACGGACTTGTGTCGATCACATCTGATGAGTTTTTAATGGTTCTACAGTCCATTTACATCTATGTCTTGTGCGGTTACATGCATCTTGGTGCCCTGTAACTGTAAGTCAATATGTTGGCTAAATATATAGTAGGTGTAAGCATGTCAAAACATGCTTGGATAAAGCTTATTATAATAGAATATTTCTGCATTGGACAAATTGCTTGTAGGATCGATTAATTGCAATATCTTCCCAACAATTCTGGTCTAGCATCTTTGTCATGTGTTGGGGTTTTTACAGACAAGTTTCTCAAATAAAGTGTCAGGAGGAACTGACTGTGATTAGTAAATTCCCATGCAACAATCCTTGGCGCTAAATTAAATAAAATATTATGCTGGTATGTTTAATGTGTTTCCACCTTTCATGCATGCACTGGATAAGGGCTTAAGGCATGCCGGTTTGGCCATATGGTTGTTTCCCCCATATAGATGATCAATGTTGTTACTGCCTGAACAATGAGATGCATGCACGTCTCAGCTGAATATTTTCAGATGTGGAGTTAAATTCTTAGTCGTAGGTCACTTTTTATTTCCTTTTGTGTAACAAGCTCTTTTGTTTTTGGTGCCGCCTAAGCCCTTTTCTGGCTTGGACGGTTGCGTATAATCGCACTTTCTATCCCTCTTAATGAAATATACATGTTCAGATGCGTTCGTGAAAAAACCACCTAAAGTCTTAATGACATGATGTTAAAGCGAAGCTCTACTAACTTAGCTATATTATGCATCCACCCATACACATAAAATCCTCAAAACACACCTGGAGGTGATGCTTTAAAGCATTTATATGATTGGAAACTTCATTTTGGCTGCTGATTTCTAGAATCGAAATTGTGATTGAGAACTTTAATTTTGAGATGTGTCCTGCATTTGCCTTTTCTCTTCAACTTCCAAAACTGACAGATAATTCTTCATACAGAGTGCTCTCCTTGCCAACATCGCTGAGGTTGAAAAGCAGAGAGATGGATGCTCGAGTTTCAACATGGAAAGAAAGAATTGAGAATGCCTTGGAAGAGCAGGTTAGTTGCTGGCTGGAACTGCTTACAGTTTTGCATCTATGAACTTGTTTAGCGCTCACCCCTACATCCATGTCTTTCAGGATAAAAATCCACCTTTTGATATGGGTTCATATGGGGAGCAAATCCTTGACACAATTTCGTCAAGAACTGATAGTACAGGAATTGCGTCTTTTAGTGAGATTGTTTGTGGCAGACCAAAGTATGAGGTTGCCAGAACATTCTCTGCCCTTCTCCAGCCGGTAAACTTCTGTTTTCTCCCAGTTTCGTAAGTGCAACCCTGATCATTTTTTAGACTCGTGATTGTTACAGGTAAACGGCAGAAGTGTTGATCTGGACAAAGGACAAACCACAAATGAGTTGGTGTGTTACACAGCTGAGAATCCATTCCACGTAAGGCTCATTGGTCTCAACCAGAGGCCAGAAATTGAGGCACGCTTTGCTCAGAAGAGAGTTTAAGTCCCCACTGCAGAATGCAGGCAAAGGTGGTGAGTCCTCCCAACATGAGTGCCCCAAAAAGCCTTTGCATAAAAATAGCAAGATTCCAGTCAAGACAGCGATCAGGCTAACTCCAGATGGGAAGCGAAGGCTGTTGACAAAATAATTAGTAATTCCTAACATAATATATTGTGTATTTATTGATCAACGATTTCCTATTATATGTCGATGCAACAATCCAATATAACTTCTTTGTTGGAAACAATGAACAAGCGAGATACAAAAAAAAGATAATGACTTTTTAAATGTATTAATTATTCATCCGTAGCAATGCATGGGCATATTTGCTAGTAATAATAAAAAGTCAAAATTTTAGGCCATTTTTTTTGTCCATCATCCCTAACAAACTCGGAATGTAGAAATTATCTATTCTTGTGTCCACAACAACCGTTCTGCTTTATATGACACATTGGACATAGGTTCTTAGGTAACTATATAGTTACGAATTTAATCCAATAATATATCTCTCTGGTCCTGAGTAAGTTGAATAGATTTAGTTTTTTTAATATTGGTCTTTTTATTTTTTTCATTTTTTTTAAACGTTGATTTTTTACCTTTCTTGGCCGTGAGGCCCTTACCGTCACGAACTAGAGGACTTTAGGAACGGAGAGAGAAGTCCTCTCGTCAGCCACATAATTTTCCGATTTCTGTTCGTGTTTGGATGTCTTTTTCCAATTTCTTTTTTTCCAGTTCCAGTTTAATTCAGTTACATCTGATTTCTTTCCTTTTTTTTTCTCCGGTTCCAGTTAGGTTCTCTTACGTTTTCTTTATTTTTTCACGTTCAACTAAATGTGTTTCCATTCTGTTATTTTCACGTTCAACGAAACGCGAATGTAAAAATAGAAACAGGTTGATAAATAATAAAAATAAAGAATAAAGAATAAAAAACAACACAATATATAGGACAGCATCCCCGTGTCGGCACGCTCGTCCCCGTGGGCGGCGTCCCCGACTCCCCGTGGCCAGCGTCGCAGCGCTGGCACGCTCATGGCTCGCCGGCTGCAAGCACGAGCTGAGGAGCAGGGCCGGCAGGGCTGGTGGCCTGGCGTAGTTGGGGAGGAGGGAGGAGCCAGCGAAGCTTGGCCAGCCATCGGTGGAGAAAGTCCTGATAGCTGCGGGTTGCAGAAGGGAGACGAAAACTGCCGCGCTCGTACGGTGAAGGGGATAAGACGAAGATGCTTACGGTGAAGGAGATAAGGAAGAGAGAGAAAAGCAAAACTATAAAATAATTGAGGGAGAAAATAGAAGAAAAAGGAAAATAAAAAATTAGGGTAGTATGGTCATTTTATTGTTTTAACAACTAGGAGGAGCTATTATATCAAACGTTTATCTAAAATAATTTCAGCTTTTTAAGTGAAGCTGCTTCATCAGCCGAAGCAAAAAAAAACTATATATTTGTGCTAAACTATTCAAATTTACTACCCTACTTTCATAAACCAGCTGTTATTTACATAAATTAAAAATGTGGCAATTTATTTAATCATAAGCCGCAGTCGTTAGTTTTAAAGATGTCTACAAGAATTTGTTTATTTGATTCAAGCCAATATCACTATTCACTAGCTATGTAGGCATGCCATGGCCACAAAGGTCGCTATATATAAAATAAAAAACACGAGTAGCGTGTGTTCAACTATGATATAGATTAAAATTAGGTGGGAGGCGAGATCCGGCGGCGCTCCTCCCCTCCCCTCCCTTGGTTGCGGATCCGGTGGTCGGAGACTAGATCCCGATCGGCGGCTGGCGGCCGGATCTCGACGGTCCGGCGAGGATGCTATCACCGGCGTGCAGCTGCGGCGGCGGCCCGTGGATGGGCTTGCTGGGCTTGTCCACGGGTTTTTTTTTTTATTTATTTTTTTATTAACCGAGATAGGCATTTGAACCGCCGCGGTAAATCATTGATGTACCGTGATCTTTCGACCGAGGCGGATAAGTTGCCCGCCTCAAGAAATCCCTTTTGCCCGCCTCGGTCAAGTTTATCATAGTAGTGAATAGTTAAATCTCTAAGCAATAAATTATCTAGGACCATGCAAAATGTACCTCCCGTTGCAACGCACGGACAATTTTGCTAGTAAATAAATAAAACAACCACTAAGCGTTGCTGTTAGTTTTCATCGTTGAAAAGCTTGTGATCCGCATGCCTTTTAAAACATGATTTTTTTAGAATCGAATCTATGGATTTCTTTTGATTTAAGAGGTTTCCTCTATTTTTCCATTTCCTTTTATTTTCGCCTCTTTTCCTTTTATTTTTAAGAATTCTATCTAGTCCTCTTCGATCGATTGAAATTGTGCTTATCTGCCCACAAATTGTTTGGAAGGAACTAGGGAGAATATAAAAAGAAACAAATTATGGCTTGTAAGATCTCAATCAATTCTTGAGGTGCACGACAAAGTTTTCAATGTTAATGATTAAAAAAATTGGCTAGTAACTAGTTTCTCTCTAGCGATAATCTCTTTCCACTACAAAAAAAAAAAAAATGATGCGAGGATAATCTACATTACAACTATGTGAAATTTGTAATTCCTCATTTCAAAATGCAAGTTTTTTTAGATCTATTCTAAATTAAATTTCTACAAATTTGACTAATTTCATAGAAAAACATAGCGACATCCATAACACCAAATTATTGTCGTTAAATTTTTTCCATTTGGATATATTTTTTCTAGTATGTTTGTTTGGGGGCTAGAACTACAGATAAGTGTTTCTTTACAATTAGTCAAATTTGAAGATGTTTAACTTATGACAGACTTAATCATTTATTTATACATTGCTGAGACTTTGAATCGCGTTTGGCAAGACATGTAAAATGGTCCAGACTCGTCCCAATCGGTGACAAGAACTGCCACTGGCACATACCCTTACGCCATTGATACGGACAGGCACCATGCATGGCAGCCATGACCGCGTTTATATATGCGACACCATGGCGCAACCGCGCCTACCTCGCAGCCCCGCGCGCGTCCTCTCCCGCGGCCGCCCAAGTCATCACCACGATCGCCGACGTGCGCGATCCTGACTCGCCGCCTCGCGGCAGCAATGCAGTTCCTAACGGCCCCCGCCTCGGTCTCCTCCCGCGCCTCGACGCCGGTGCCGTCCGCGTGGCTCCTCGGCCTCTCGAATGCACCTTCGCCGCGACACGGTGCCGACACGAACGGCACCCGGACGAAACAAGTAGCAAAACCAGACGCGACGCGATGCCGCGACGGCGTGACACGGTGACGACACCCCCTCTCGCCTACCTCGCAGCCCCGCGCGCGTCCTCCCGCGGCCGCCCAAGTCATCACCACGATCGCCGACGTGCGCGATCCTGACTCGCCGCCTCGCGGCAGCAATGCAGTTCATAACGGCCCCCGCCTCGGTCTCCTCCCGCGCCTCGACGCCGGTGCCGTCCGCGTGGCTCCTCGGCCTCTCGAATGCACCTTCGCTGTGGCCGCTGCTGGCCGCCCATCAGCCGACCTACCGACCGCGGCTTCTCCGCGCGCGTCGATCCGTGCTCATCACCCCCCGGACGCACGGCTGCCGCCACGGCCAAGGCCACGTCCATCACCACTAGGGATCAAAATGGTACCGATATTTTTCAACCGTATTCGAGACCGAATTCGTTTAGAAAGGTTCAGATCTCTCCGTATCCAAGTCCGGATATTCAATATCCGAATTCGTTTAGAAAGGTTCAGATCTCTCTATATCCAAGTCCGGAATATTCAATATCCGATACCGTATCCGTATCAAATACTCAACTTGCATATTTGTGATATTTGTGATGTTGATACCTAATAGTATCCTATCCTACATAGTTGATATTATCCGTATTCGAATCCGAATCCGAACAGAAATATAAAAACAGATGTAATATCGATAATATCCGTCCGTATCCGATCCGTTTTTATCCCTAATCACCACCACCAAGGCCAGCGCCATGGACACTGCCACGGTCACCGCGGCGGTGTGGACGACGACGACGACACGCATGGAGCAGGCAGCGGAGGCGCAGCGATCATCGCCCTGTTCGTTTGGACTTGTTTGGCTTATAAGCCGTACTTTTCAACCAACGAATATTATTTTTTCTCTCACACTAAATCAGCCAACAATAATTTTCAGTCATGGCTTATCAGCCAAACAAGCCCAAACGAACATGATACATGCGAGCGGCGAGCGGCGGTCGGGCTGGCCAGCGTGGCCGACGCGCTGCGGGAGCACCTCCACGTCTGCTGCGGCGTCGCGCTCGGGCTCCTCCTGGTGGCCGCCGCATGCCCGCACGTCTTGCCGCTCGGCTCCGGCGCCAGCAGGCTCGTGCAGGCGACGCTCGTCGCCGTCGCCTGCCCTGACCCACTCCTGCTCCTTTGTTAGCTTTGAGTTTTGAATTTTGCCCGTTGCGGAATGCCTAAAAAAAATTGTTAGACGGCTAGAGTCGAAATCAAGCAAATGCTGATCGTTAACAGAAGCTTCTAGTATTGGACCGAATCGAAAAGGTTATATGTTTACAAAGAACAAACGGCGCAAATGCAATAGCACAATTGATTGATTTATATATTTTGGAACCTCTAGAAGAAATGTACCATAGTTTACAAAAGAATGCACTCGGCACAAATAAGTTGCACTGGGATTAAAGAGATGGGAATTGCTAGCGTCCGGACGTCCGATGTGATAGGATTTCGTCGTACGGTAATATGGGCACACTCCCACCAAAATAGCCTAGCAGAATGGCCCATCAGATAAAGGTCATTGCGCGACCTCGGCTTCGGTCACCAGCCCTGCGCCGTTCGCTGCTGCACACGCACATCCGTCCTCGTCCGCCTCATCCTGCCCTGTACGCGTACCCTGCCCCCGTCCGCCTCTCGCCCCGCCCCACGCCCGCTGCTCCTTCCCCCCTGACCCCCTCTCTCTCTCTCTCTCCGCGTGGGCGAGACCCGGGAACCGGGATGAGGACGAGCACACGCCCCATCCACAAAGACCCCAGGCGCACCGCGCGCCCCATCCACGGGCACCCTACTCGCCGCGCCCCTTCCCCCCACGCCCGAGCACCATGACTCTCTGAACGTACCTCTAAAACACGAAACACTTGCAATATGAAACACTTGAATGCAACATACGTCTGAAGTAGATGAAACATTTGAAACATACAATTACAACATGTGTGTGAAACATATGCAACATCCAGATAAAACACTTGTAACTTGCAACATAAAAACACTTATTGAAATGTAAGACTGAAACAACTAAAACATTTCAAACATACTCTTGCAACATATGTGTAAAATATGTGCAACATTCAGATAAAAAACGCTTGCAACATACGTATGAAACAGATAAAATATTTTGAACAAGCGCTTGCAACATGCCTGTGAAACACTTGTAACATATGCAACATCCTGATCTACTTTTGCAACATTCATATGAAATGCTTGCAACATATCTATGATAACTTCGGAAACACTTGAAAACATATATTTGCAACGTAGGGGAGGAAGAGACCTGGGCCGATTGATTTCGGCCTCGGAGTGGGAGCCGGTGCCGAGCGACAGTGTGGGAGCACCACGAGCACGGGCCGCGCTCGTGGGTGCCCTTGGCTCTGTGGGAACCGACATAAGGCGCGTGATGGCACCACTAGCGCTAGTAGAGGTGGGCGGCGCACCCAACGGCGTGGGTGGGGCGCGTAGCGGGTGGGGCGTGCGACGGGCAAGAGTGAGGAGCAAGTAGCGCAGGATGTGGGCGCACGGGGGAGATGGACCACTGCGGCGAATGCAAAGTGGGGCGGGCTGATGGCCGCACGGCGCTGTGAAGCGTGCGATGGGCGAGCGAGTAGGAAGATATTTTTAGAGAGATGGGGAGGCGTACTGAGGAGGATGAGGAGGAGATAGACTTGTTACATCGGTAGCGCACGTAGACCCAGGAAGTGACGTTCGATCGGATGGACGCCCAACCCTAAGCGTTACGGTAATGAAACACATTGACCAATGTAGAATTCATGATGGAGTCGATGATCATCACTTGATCAGCAGATGTGTAGCGTACACGATCATCTAGACTCTAATAAAACATCAGCGTTTGTAAAATGCTCGAGTACTCATTGCATATTCCAATATTTTCCGTAAACAAAGTTATACAAAATAAATTAGAGCGACACTAGATCCATTGTAAATTGTAGTTTACTTAGCTTTGTTTTAAGTTAGTTTTTTGAACATTGACAAGGTTCATCGAAAGAATTATCAGTGTTTGTAATATTAAAATAATTTAATTAATTCTCATAAAATATATTTTGTAGTGTATTTATCTGAATATATTTTTCTAAAATTAAATCAAAGGTAGACAAATTTGTATTATTAGGAAAAAATTAAATTGAACTATATAAGTCATAACGCAAATTATACCTCACCTCTAAAACAGTTTGTCAAGTCGTGATACTTTGTTTTGGAGCTCGGAAGTTCTTTTTGAGTGACCATATTATCACTGGAATTTCTTGAGAGGATGTATTGAGAATGCACTTTGACTCCGAAGCATGGCATATAGCGTAATAGAGCTCCTTTTTTCAGATAAGGACATTTAAACGTGCATTGTGCACTACATATACGGTACAAAGTTACAAATCGCAAAAATGGAGACGAAATAAACGAGTAGCGAAACCGTGCGCGACACGATGGTGACACGGTGATGACACGAGCCAAAACAAACCCGGCCGGGCCTGGGCCTGGGCCTCGGCCCACGCCCGTCATCGCCATCCGCTTGGCTCGCCACCACCCCCGTCCACCACACGCCCGCCACAAAGGTCCAACCCGTGGTGGACCAGTCCTCTTCCTCAGCTGCCGCTGCTCACGGCTCACCACCACGAGCGTCAACCGCCCCGCCGACGCGATCTCCTCCCGCTCCCGCCCTCGCCCCGCCGGCGCGATGCAATTCCTCAGTGCCTCCGCCTCCGCCTCAGTCTCCTCGCCGGTGACGCCGTCGGCGCACCTCCTCCGCCTCGCGCGGCCCCCGCCCTTCCCGCACCTCCGCCGCCGCTGCTCCCCGCCCAGACCCCTCGCGCTGATGCCCCGACCGCCGCTCCTCATCGCCTCGCGCCCGTCCCTGCTCTTCACCCCACGCGCGCACGGCGGCCACGGCCACGGCCACGGCGACGGCCACCACCACCATCACCATCAGCACGGCCATGACCACCATCACCACCACGGCCACGGCCACGGCCACGGCCACGTCCACGGTCACCACGAGGTGGACGTGCACGGGGGAGGCGGGGGCGCGGCGGTCATGCGGGTGGCGCGGGCGATCGGCTGGGCCGACGTCGCCGACGCGCTGCGGGAGCACCTCCAGGCCTGCTGCATCTCCCTCGGTCTCCTCCTCATCGCCGCTGCCTGCCCGCACGTCGCGCTGCTCAACTCAGTCGGCCGCCTGCAGGCCGCGCTCATCGCCGTCGCCTTCCCTCTCGTCGGGGTAATGCCCCCTACCTTGTTCCTTTGCTACTTTTGACCTTCCAGACCCTTACAGCCTTACTAGGGATCACTACTAACTAATACTGTACTTGGTAGTCTATTTGTTCTATGCTCACAGCTGCTTCAACATTTGCACTTACAGAGGAAATAATTAGTTGGATTGCGTCAATTCTATGCTGTATTTAAATGCTTGAAGATTGGTAAGAAAATTAGAGCATAGGATTGGGATTTCAGATACACTAAGCACAATCCAAGGAGTTCATACATTGGAAAGTACAATCCCCGTTCGCTTGGCTGATAAGCCATGGCTGAAAGTACTGTTGGCTGATTTGTTTGTAGAGAAAAATACTGTTCGTTCGCTGAAAAAGTACGGCTTATAAGACAAGCGAACAGGCTTTACAAGTTTGCACAGGGAAACCACTGTTTGTGTGCCACCACATAACTCTCCGGTACTTTTCCATGCTTCGAATTAGCCAAGGTTCAGTTAAATCCTCTCAGCAATTGATATGACAACTGCATTGGTGTAAAATGGAATTCATTGAACATGGAACTGTGTTTTGCTTTGCTACCTAACAAGGGAGATCAGAGGAGCAGCCTTTGTTTTGAGGTCGCTTGCCAACAACGTACTTGTTTGACACTCCTTTCCTATCTTGCAGGTGTCTGCAGCGCTTGATGCTCTTGTAAATATTGCCGACGGTAGAATAAATATCCATGTTCTCATGGCTTTTGCAGCATTTGCTTCTATATTTATGGGAAATGCATTGGAGGGTGGCCTGCTTCTTGCAATGTTTAACTTGGCTCATATTGGTACATTTCTTCTGATAACATCCGAAAGCCCCATGTGTTAGCTCCTGTTGTGTGTTTATTTGAAGTTCACTGTTCTTGTTTCTTACAGCTGAAGAGTATTTTACAAGTAAGTCAATGTTTGACGTGAGGGAACTGAAGGAAAATCACCCGGAATTTGCTCTGCTGTTAAAAACAAGTGGAGAAGAATCTGCACAGTTTTCAAATCTAAGTTACACCAAGGTTCCTGTGCATGATCTTGAAGTGGGTTCTCATATCTTGGTTAGAGCTGGCGAGGTGTGTTATATCTTGTATAGAAGTTAAATCCTTGCTTTTCCTATTTTTGTTTTCATTTCATAGCTTCTTCATGCATTTTCCAATTTGTTTCTAACTGAGCACAATGGTTTGACTTATCTTTTTTTGCCCTACATGTTGATGGTATTCTTATTCTAGATGGTTAGAAATTTTTCTCATTTTAGTGCAGTTCTTGTATTCTTTAGGCGGTGCCTGTTGATGGTGAAGTCTTACAAGGTTCATCAACTGTCACAATTGAACACCTAACTGGTGAAACAAAACCTTTAGAAAGGACAGTTGGAGATGCCATACCAGGTGGCGCCAGGAACTTGGAAGGAATGATGATCGTAAAGGTTTGCTTTGCTCCCTTCAATGAAGAAGATGTTTCAACTTTCTTTGATGAAGAGATGGAAAATGGAAACCTAGTTAATCTTGTGGGATTGGACAGATGTTTAGTTTTAATAAGCATTTGTTACTAGTACTATTTCTGCTTTTCTAGTACATTATGCTTGCTATCTGTTCTGGAGTGTCGCCTTGCCACCTTGCAAGAGAGTCATTTGTTTGCCTGTTTACTACCTTTTCTAGGTGACCAAGTCATGGGAGGATTCAACACTCAACAGAATTGTCCAATTGACTGAAGAGGGCCAGCTAAACAAGCCAAAGTTGCAAAGATGGCTTGATGAGTTTGGAGAGTACTATAGCAGAGTTGTGGTAGCCCTTTCTTTGGGTGTTGCACTTTTGGGACCATTACTTTTTAAGTGGCCTTTTTTTGGTAACTCAGGTAATCCTCTAATGTCTCACTGCTGTATTGGTCCTGTCATATACTATATAAAACATATAGGTACTTCTGATAGTTCTACAACCAGTATGCTTTGATGCATTTCATACTGATGATTTTGTTTTGCCAATTTTATCGATTTGATACACTTAGGTCCAGGCTTGAACTGTCTCTGTTCTGACATTTTCTTTAGTCTGTAGGGGTTCAATTTACCGTGGTTTAGGACTTATGGTGGCTGCATCTCCCTGTGCATTGGCTGTAGCTCCATTGGCATATGCAACTGCAATCAGTTCTCTTGCTAGTAAGGTACTGTTTGAAATCTTCAGTTGTTGGAGCTCTTTATTTTGGGGTGATACAACACTTTCTTGGCTTCTAAACTTCATGAAAGCATCAACCATTTAGTTCATAGCTTCATAGTTCATATTGCTCACAAGTGCGGGTAATGCCTACAGTATTATCAATATGAATTCTCTTTTTTTAATGATTGGTGTAATTACTGCAGCTACGAAGTTCCTCCTGTAATTAATTGGAGATAGCACCATAGCAATCTTGTCACTTTCTGAATATACCTTTTTCTCTTACGAGCTGCTTGATTTCTGGCTGGTATAGTGGATAATGGATTGATGAACCTATGCTTTTGTTCTCCTCTAGGGAATTTTGTTGAAAGGTGGTCATGTCTTGGATGCTCTTTCGTCTTGTCAGTCTATTGCTTTTGATAAGACAGGCACATTAACAACTGGGAAGCTTATGTGCAAAGCAATCGAGCCTATCCATGGACATTTGGGTGTGAAAAATGGTCATAGTAATCCTTCTTGCTGCACTCCAAACTGTGAAAGTGAGGCACTAGCTGCTGCTGCAGCCATGGAGAAAGGAACAACACATCCTATTGGAAGGTACATAAAATAGATAACTTTTTTTTGAGCGAAATATACAGCAGGGGAGGCCCCCACTGTGAATTTTATTAAAACCAAAAGGAGAAACAACACTGTACAAAGGCGACACAGCAAGGGAGGGAGGGGCTACACAATAAGCAGGCCCTGGGGAGGCAGAAGAACTAGGCTAGAGGGACTATACAGGAAAGGAACTCTAGACGCTTTACAACATTGAACCTATGAGCTTGAAGCCTAAAAATAGATAACTTTCGAAGAGTCGATTTGTTCATTTTATTCTGATTACGTGCATTCTTATTTCTCATGAGTACAACTCTGCAATAATTTGGCTTTCAAGGTGTTGCTAGAAGCCTAGAATCTACTCCATGGGCCCAGTGTAAATATTTGTACCACTGTTGTTGTTAAGGTGTTGAAACTCAGGCAACAGTTCTGTGTTGCTTATTTGGAAGCAAAGTCAGTAGGCTCATTCTGGTTGCATGTGAATGCTTGAATTTCTATTTTTCTATTCACACATGCCACTAGTGGCTTCTTGCACTGGACCAGCATGGGCTCTAGTTAACATGAATGTTGCTGTGATCTTATCTATGCCTGTTGAGAACTGACCATTAAAAAGTTCCCATGCCCTTAACCTTAGTGTAGACTTTCTTGTCTTTTTTGTATTTTTGAAACATGGCATTGGTTGTTCATTTTTGTTTTATGCACTGAAACTTATAGAATAATCTATGGCAAACAATTGACATACAGTTTGCATGATCACAGGGCTGTTTTAGACCACTCTGTTGGAAAGGAGCTTCCAGTGGTCGCTGTAGAAAGTTTTGAATGCCTACCTGGTTGGGGAGTTGCTGCTACTTTGAGTGGGGTGAAGGTACGTCTAACTTCTATAATATTTTTCAATCATCAAAATCATCTGGAATTGTCAGATATGTCACAGACCTTGCTTTAGATAAAATTCAGGTGTATTACTGGAAACACCACTGGCATTTAATGTATACTGTAGGCGGAAACACTCTTGTAGTGTAGCAGTAAGCTCCCTAGTTTTGGGAGACAAAAATGTCCCCTGTTGGCAACCAAAAAATAGTGGTCTGGCGCCGGCCTGTGGCGTCTGTAGTTGGTTTGGGCCCTCATAATAGTTGCAGTGGTCGGCAGCCCAGGTTAAGGTGAGGCCCTATAGGGTGAAGCCGGGGTTCAGAGGTTTTCTTGGTTGGTTTGACCGAGAGATTCAGTTCAATACCGTGGGGGCTGTCTTTCCCCACCGGCCAAGTTCTTTATACTGTAGGCAGCATATGTTTCATCCAATGGATGCAATTGTAGTTCAGTAGCTATCATATTCTTCAATAGGGACGTGTTTTAGATTTTGATAAGTTAGCGTGGTTGTTATTTAGTGTTTGGTCACTATGAAGGAATTGGAAGAGCCAGCCTTTGACATGCTAACTTGAGTACTTGACACCTCATACATTTGCATTACAGGTAAGAGAAAATGAAAATGAGCTATCCGAGGCATCTATCGGTTCTGTGGACTATATTTCTTCACTATATAGATCCAATGGTGAATCAGAGCAAATAAGAGCAGCAGCAAAAAGTTCTGCATATGGGCCTGAATTTATCCAAGCTGCTCTATCTGTTGACAAAAAAGTAAGTTAACTTGAGAACCAAACTCTTTCTTCTTTCATGTATCTGGTCATGTATTTTCATTCTAGTCCACCTAAGCGACAAACCAGCATGGCCCCATGTATCCACTGCACAGTCAAAACCATAAGCACTAGGTGGTCCGTGGTCCAGATTCTAGTGTTTGGTCCATCTGAATAGCCTGCCTATTCTGAAGCTTGTTCAGTAGGTGCCCTGATAATTTGAATCTGACGATTTGGGCTTGTTTGGATACTAGCCTTCTTTGAGTTCTACTTAGAAGTTAGAACCTTTGAACTTGCTCTTGTTTAAGTGAAGCTGACCTTAGTTTGCTTTGCATAGTCATAATCATTACCTTACCTTGTTTGGCCGGCCCACCCACTGGCAAGATTGCAAGAAGGCTGTACAAGTGACTGTATCAAGGCATACTTCTACTCATGATTTTGCTACCCCCCCACCCCCCTTTCTTCTGACCAAACAGTACACAGATTTGAATTGTTATCATGATTTGAGTCTTGTGTTTTGTAAGAACTAGTTTTCCAGTGTATTATATATCAATTGATTTAAACTTTTCCAGGTAACTCTTTTTCACTTTGAGGATGAACCCCGCTTTGGTGTTTGTGAAGTTATATCTACCTTAAGAGAGAAAGCTAAACTTCGCATTATGATGCTTACTGGAGACCATGAATCAAGTGCCCATAGAGTTGCTAAATCTGTTTGTATTGAAGAAGTCCACTTCTCTTTAAAGCCAGAGGATAAATTAAATAAAGTAAAAGCAGTTTCAAGGGAAGGAGGTACTTACCTGTGATATGTATGCCTGTCAAAAGTCAACTATATGATTATATCATGGCTTTAAGTTTTACATATGTTATCTAAGTATGCACTTATATAGCTTTAGCCTTTAATCCTGCAATGTGGTAGCCACGGTTGCTTTCTAAGTGCTCCTATGTACTTCCTCACCACATGATTTGATCTAACAAAATCATTGGTAGTTTTCTTCATAGTTTTCACTTCTCATGCTGCATGAGTCTATCGATCCCAACAATTTTGTTCCTACTTCAGTTTATTTTCTGGACATAAGCAACCTGCCAGACATTTACAGAATCCTACCTTTTGTCCATGACTAAATGTTCCTTGTGTACAATTAAACTGTAAAATTGAACATTGTTACTTTTTGTTGTGCTCGCTTTCCTGCCCATTATTCATTATTTACCTTTTTGTTTGTTTCCAGGTGGAGGTTTAATAATGGTTGGTGATGGTATAAATGATGCACCAGGTCTTGCAGCCGCAACAGTTGGAATGGTTCTAGCCCAACGTGCCAGTGCAACTGCAGTGGCTGTTGCAGATGTTCTGTTGTTGCAGGATAATATTTGCGGGGTGCCATTTTGCATTGCTAAGGCTCGTCAAACAACTTCATTGGTATGGTCTTTTCTTTGCTTGTGTGACACTTTAGCTTCAGATGCAATATTACTGTTTCTTACACTTTTAGGTTATCCTTACAGGTCAAACAAAGTGTAGCTCTGGCCTTAACTTGTATTGTTTTTGCTGCGCTTCCTTCTGTCCTGGGATTTCTTCCTCTTTGGTTGACTGTAAGTTCCTTTTCATGACCTAGACTTGTGTTTGTGTAACTAGGAAATTTAACAAATTGTTCAAGTGCCCTGAACCCTATTTGTCCTTTGTGGCACACGGAATTAGTAAATTGTAGAGTTGGAATAAATGCACTCTTTACAGATATGCATTTGTAGCGTAACAGAGTGGTAAATTCACTTTCTACACAAACAGGAGAGTCCAGTTCCCACTTATTGGATGGATTCTTTGTAAATATTTCCATTATGTTTTTCCTAGCCCATGGTCCTTTTATGAGCCTTAAGATGGCCAGAAAAAAAAAGGCAAAATGCAAAGTTGTAGTGACAGTTCCATTTTACTGGATGTGTTAGCACACCATCACTACTGTTGTTATCATGTGATTCGCATACATAATCCTTTCTTTGGTGTCCTTATTTCTACATGTGCTACAATTTTCAGGTACTTCTTCATGAAGGAGGAACCCTTCTAGTGTGCTTGAACTCGATACGAGCCCTGAACGCTCCGACATGGTCCTTGGTTGATGACATCCGGCAGCTCGTTGATGGCTTGAGGAATTATTTCTCATCCAAGTTCAACAGCTCTTCCTCAAACTACGTCGCAAACACTGTACCCTTGTAGATTACCATGTACAGCAACGGTTGCCTTTTCTTACCTTCTTTGTGTGACACCGTTTGAATTTAGGCGAGGGGTTCTAACCTAATTTTTGTAGGCTCTGTACTCTTATCACCACCATGTAAAGAAGAAAGAAATTTGGCTTCAGGTTGAGCTGAAAGTCAAAAGCCAGTGATGAACATCCTGTTACGATGTGGCGTAGAAGCAACATTTGTTGGGCACGTTCGTTATGGAATACATACAGGTGCAGCCGTGCAGGTGCTGTACCACTGTTGAGATCAGGGAAGTCTAATCGCCTATTTCTTGCTTGCAGAAGCTAGACTGCTGTTCTGAGGTCGATTGATTAATTTATTGTTGATTGTCCACTTGCCCAGTCAGCATCGGCCGTCAGAAACGCGTGTCTTATAAGTAACTCCATAGAAGATTATCCCCTGGGCATATATATATATATACACACGGATATAGAATATAGATACAGATATGTATAGATATAGATTATAGATATAGATTTTTAGCCTAAATCTTCTTTCCCTGTCGAATGGCTGAATGTTCGCCGGCCGTCCGCCGTTGCAAGCGGACTCTCCTTCTCATTTGGGACAACTCCTGCTTAAACCAAAAAATCTGTGGCAAAGAGGACCGATTACATTTCTCCTGAGTTTGTGTGTAGTATTAGCCAAGACCATCGCGTGTAGTAGTACGTATTAGTCACCGTCCATGCATGCTGCACAAAATCAATCTTCTCGATGCCTCCTAGAGACGATCAAAGGCAACCTCGCTGAATGTTTTTAACCACTAGCTAGCTGTGTCCATTTGCCTACCGATCCAGCTAGTCAAGTCGCCGCAAGAAACATTGACGTACATGCCTATGTAGTTGCGAGAAATCGTACTGCCAAACAGCCACGAAAATCCGCACCAGTTGCCTAAATTTTGACCTACTTTCTACGCCTCACGCACGGCTATACGGCCATGCTGTAGCGAGTAGCGACAGGTAATTCAGGTATCCAACACCCGCCCATGCAACGGAGAAACTCAGCCTTTCATCATTGTTATTAAAAAAGACAGAAGATAAAGAGAATCAGTTTTTCCTCTGACCAAAGCACTAGTTTCGCCGCATCCATCTAGAGTTTCCAACAATTTCCTTCTTCTCCGTGTCGGACCAAAACTTCTCTCCTGGGTTTTCCCTTCCGTATAAGGCACCAGGCAGTCAGGCACGACTTTCCACGCCCGTGCTCGTGCACATATTGACAAATACACTGCCTGCCCTTCCTATAAATACCCTGTTCAGCAACGCCACTTGTGCACCAAGAACACTCTAGCACCCGGCGGCCACCTCTTCTCTCCAGAGCGAAAAAGAAAGAGCTGTTGGCTGTTTGTTGCTTGCTTATAGCATCATCAGCAACCTCTCGCCATCGTCGGCCATGGCGAAAGCTGCCGCCGTTCTGCTCATCGCCGCCCTGCTGGGGCTCGTGTCGGCGTCGCTCGCTGACCAGGGCACCGCCACCTACTATACCGTCTACACTCGTGCGTCGCTCTATCCGTCCATCGTCACATCATGAACATTTCTGCATATGGCATCAATATCACGTTGTAATTTTCTGAAGAACCTGACTCCTGAGGTCGGTGCGTGCGTGTTCTGCAGCGTCGGCGTGCTACGGATACCAGGACGAGGGCACGATGATCGCGGCGGCGAGCGACGGGCTCTGGGACAACGGCGCGGCGTGCGGGCGGATGTACCAGGTGTCCTGCGCCGGCGGCACCAACGCTACCCCGAACCCCTGCAAAGGCGGCAGCGTCACCGTCAAGATCGTCGACCGCTGCCCGTCGCCGGGATGCCAGGCCACGCTCGACCTCTCCCAGGAGGCCTTCAACACCATCGGCAACCTCGACGCCGGCAAGATCCTCATCAACTACAACCAGTACGCACGCGCCACGCTCCAGCATCTTCCGATCGATCCCCTGGTGGTGTTTTTTGTTGGTTAATTTCTTTTTGACACATCAATAAATATTATTCGTGTTGTTTTGCAGGGTGTAATTAAAAGAGCAGGCAAAGCACAAAAAGGATCTAGGAGCTATATGGGCTTCATGATTATGTCAGGAATAAGTTGGGTAATAATAAGCACGTGAAACTTGCATTGGAGCAAATACGTCGTGCCTATAGCTAGAATAAAACCATGGTGTACCTTTAATAATTTGGATGGATGCAGCTCTCCTGCTTCTTGTGTGTTCGAAAAAGGAAAACAAATGAATAATGCAGGTTGTAATATTATTAGATACCAAAAAATGAATAAATTGGGTGTATGTATACACAATCTTGTTCAAACATTGCTATATATCTTTATTGGCCGATTTCTTATTATAGTCCCTCTTTTCCAAATTATAAGTCACTTTGGCTTTGCCATCTCTAACATTAGCAAATTAAACTTTATAGAATATATATTGACACATCTACAAAAGTGCAATCTTAAGACATATTGAATGCTGGATTAAATGTAACTAATTTGGTTATAAATGTTAGTATATTTTTTTATAGACTTGGTCAAACTAGATAAGTTTGACTCAAGATGAAAGCTAAATGACCTATAATTTGGAACGGAGAGGATAGTAATTTGCACCAAAACATCAAACAATAGAACACTGCTTTTTTTGAACGCACTGGTAGAAGCTCTGTCTTTCAATTAAGTAGAAAGAGTTGACCATGTTTGTATGAAAAACCAGACGTGAAGATCTTACACTTGCATGGTTAATTAAAGGAAAACCAATTGAAAACCCTAACATCAACGGCAAGGCCAAAACGACCAACCCGAAATGACACAACCTGCTGCAAGTTATCATTGTCGAGCTCGAAAATATAGCCGAGTAGCTCTGACTTCTTGCAAAGGACCAAAGCCTAAACCTCAAAAGTCACAACACACACCTATGGGGAAAACTAGCATCGCCCTAAAGAGATTGTTGAGCATTATCATTGTTGAGCTATGCCAAACCCCTCAACACAATAGCTCCAACTTTGCCGTAGAAAACTCTTTCAAGCAAGTCAAACGTCCTTGGGTGGTGTGGCAAGAGTAGTGCCAAGAGGCAACCAGTGAACAAGACCTCCAAAACGACACCTTAAGGAAGGATGTAGCGTCAGGAGCGCCGCCATTGTTCGTCTAGGAATCTGGACATGGCTTTCACCCAAAGAGCCTTGCAAAGTCGGAAGGGGGGGGGGCACCTCAATGATGCCCCAAACAGGGAGAGTAGCACCGTCATTGGCTTCTGCCCCGTTGGCCAAGTCTTAAGCCCCGAGCCATCCATCCACACTCGCCGTGTTGAAGTGTGGCGTGCCAAGAGGACCATTGATGACGCCACGGATGAGCACAACTCGCCAACACCATGACGCCGTCGCCAAACCGAGGCCCCTGCCAAGCTATCATTGTTGATGTCGCTCAAAGGCACAATCAAGGTTACGCCTCAGACGCCCCTTGGCGCTAGCCATGCCGACCCAACGTGCGACCAACGTCCTTAATTATATTTTTGTTGGCTAATTTCTTATATTCCAAATTATAATACCTAATTTGCAACCATTATTAGCCGCTAATAGTTAGCTTACTCATAGCTCATAGCTAATATTAGCTAGCTAACTATTAGCTGCTACTAGTTGGTTTGGCTCAACTAGCTAGTGACATAGTTGTTAGTTAGATATTCGGCTAACAATTATCTAGACTATTAGCTAGATATGTTTAGATCCAAAGAAACTAATTATTAACAACTAACTATTAGCTCTATGAATCCAAATATGACCTAATTAAGTCATTTTGGCTTAGTCATCTCTAACATTGACAAAGTTTATAGAAATGTATATTAATATCTAGAATACCAAATAAGTGCACTCTTAAGACATGTTGAATGATAGATTAAATGAAACTAATTTGGCGTTGTAAATAATGTCAGTATGTTTCTTTTATAGACTTGGTCAAATTAGATAAGTTTAATTTAGGATAAAACCAAAATGACTTATACTCTCTCCATTTCAAATTATAAATCGCTTTGACTTTTTCGGTATAGATTTTGTTATGTACATAGACTTAGGTTATATACAGAGACATAGTGAAATTAATATACCATAAAAGTCAAAACGACTTATAATTTAGAACGGAAGGAGTAGTTTGGAAGGATAATAATTTTGGACCAAAACATCAAACAGTAGACATTCCTAAACTCGTAAACATATCTAGCCTATAAACAGGTGACAAAATGCATGCGATCGGGTTATTGCTTTTTCACCGAGAAATGGAAAAGATACCCACAGTACCAATTTGAGTTGTTGGATTAAGTACAATAGCTAGAAAAAGGATAAAAACCCGTCACCTGACGATCGAGAAGCAGATAAATACTTTACAAAACCCTGAAAAGTTCCCATGACACTATGTCCACGTTGTGAACGCCGGCCCATTCTACCAAGCAACATGCAGATCGACACACACCATCTTAACTTAGGAGCGAATATTTCAGGATTAAGCGGCGTTGATCATTAAGTGGTAACAGCGTTATGTATTTAGTGGGAGGTGATGTTGCCGTCGATAGTGCAATTTCGTGGATTTTCTAGCCCAGTCTTTGAAGAATCTCATATGGGTTGGGTACTCATATGGGTTGAGTTTGCGTGCGTCCATTTATAGGGGTGAATGTGCGTGACTTGTGAGAGGGTCTGCTGTAATTCTCAAAAACAAAAACCAAACTAATTAAAGCCGACTAATAATCACCACCCATCGTTCCAAAACTCCGACGACAAAATTACGAAAATACTGGTGGTTCAGGACGAGAGTTACGTGGAAAAGAAGAGTGTTCATCACGCATGCAGCTAGCTACGTGCGCACGAGAGAAACAGTCTCTCGTAGCCTGTTCAAACCCAGCACCACCATTTCAGCTCTGCTCTTGCATGCCGCTGCCGGATCGCGTCCCCTCCGCTCTCCGGTCTCCGTATATAGGGCACCTCTGCTGAGTCTCTCCGACTCGCTCTCACCACTGTCCTCCGTCATGGCGACTGCTGCTGCTGCGCCATTGCTCCTCCGACCACTCTTCCACGGTCTCCTCCTCCTCGTCATCCTCTCCCTGGCGCTCGGCGCCCATGGCAACAAGCCCGGGGAGCACTACAACCTCACCAGGGAGAACTTCCCGCCCGGCTTCGTCTTCGGGACGGCGTCGTCGGCGTACCAAGTGGAGGGGAACACGCTGAAGTACGGACGAGGCCCCTGCATCTGGGACACCTTCCTCAAGTATCCAGGTGAGATCGAGTCGAGATGCATGACAGCATCATCACGGCATTTTATGTCTCCTATATATTTCATCATCACCTGGTGCTTCTCTGATCGATGGCGTCGTCTTTGGATGGATGTGTGCTTGGGCATGCAGGCGCTACTCCTGATAACGCGACTGCGGAAGTGTCGGTCGACGAGTACAATCGCTACATGGTTCGTGACGCGAAATGTCTGAATGGCTCATGTGTTGATTATATTGCTGATTTGTGATCCATTGATAAGTAATTTTTGTTTTTCTGGTGGCACAATGCAGGATGATGTGGACAATATGGTCCGGGTTGGATTCGACGCGTACCGCTTCTCGATCTCATGGTCGCGCATTTTCCCCAGTATGTGTTGATCGATGAAACATATATAGTACACAGTCAGTGATGGACTCGATGATTCATATATAGGGCTTTGTTTCATCACAGCAGTAACATGCATGGTTGCGTCTTTTGTTTTTTTTGGGGGAAATTAAATGCAGGTGGAATTGGGAGGATCAACAAGGATGGCGTGGACTATTACCACAGGCTCATCGACTACATGTTGGCGAACCGTACGTGATGCTAATTAATTACTCTCTCAATTTCAAATTATAAGTGGCTTTAACTTTTCTAGATTCATAATATTTGCTACTTATTATCTAGATATATGTTATGTCTACGTACGTAGAAAAAAGTATATATCTAGAAAAAACAGAACGACGTACAATTGATCTTATTCGCCTTCCTTCGAGTCCAATTCCTGCAGCAATTTCTTTATTTGCTACACGTTTCAGATTTGTGGGCACTCATGCCACTCGATCACGAGTCTTTTTGCTTGTTTAACAGATATTACTCCCTATGTTGTTCTCTACCATTACGACCTTCCTCAGGTGCTGCAAGACCAGTACAATGGCTGGTTAAGCCCCAGAATTGTGTAAGTCTCCATGATACGCACCATCTTTTTCTGGCAGTAATTAAAAGTACAAAAATAAACTCAGGGTATTGTTTTATTAAAAATGTTATATAGGTTGTTTCATAGAGAGAATCCCATTTTACAACCTTCAAACCCATATTTATGTTGACTTGATTTTTTTTTTCTGATTATGGCTATCATTTTCGCAGGCCTGATTTCACAGCATTCGCGGATTTTTGCTTTAAGACATACGGCGATCGGGTGAAGTTTTGGTTCACCATCAACGAGCCCAAGATGGTGGCTAACCATGGCTACGGAGACGCCTTCTTCGCCCCTGGCAGATGCACCGGTTGCCATTTCGGCGGCAATTCCGCCACCGAGCCGTACATCGCCGGCCATCACCTTCTCCTAGCACATGCTGCTGCTGTCAAGCTATACCGCGAGAAGTACAAGGCTAGTGACCACCCAATGCAATCCCTCTCAGCATTCATTCTAGCTATAGACTACATGATGCATTTCACAGTTTTGTTCTCGTTTGCTTACACCGTGCATGCTCACGCCAAAAACCATGATTGTTTCAGCATCAGGCTGGAAAGATTGGCATCCTGCTTGACTTCGTCTGGTACGAGCCGCTCACCAAGTCGATCGAGGACGAGTACGCGGCGCACCGGGCTAGGATGTTCACCCTTGGCTGGTGATCATAAACCTTACACAACCATAAAAAAACATGCATGTGCTGTGATGTCTAGGTTGAACCAAACATGAATCGATCTGTTTCAACTATGTTCCAGGTTCCTGCACCCAATCACCTACGGCCATTACCCGGAGACGATGGAGAAGATAGTGATGGGAAGGCTGCCCAATTTCACCTTCGAGCAGTCTGCAATGGTGAAAGGTTCAGCAGATTACATCGCCATCAACCACTACACGACGTATTACGCCAGCAACTTCGTCAACGAGACAGATACGAGCTATCGCAACGATTGGCATGTCAAAATTTCATGTACGGTTATTCATTTCAACATGCACTACTACTAAATAGAGATAAAACAAAAACCATTTCTTCATTTGATGTTTATTTATTCTTTTGTGTCGCTAACACATTGGACCGATCATCTTTTCAGATGAGCGAGACGGCGTGCCCATTGGAAAAAGGGTAACGCATTTTTCACCGATATATAGTAATATATATAGCCACTGAAAATGAACAGAATTTCAAGCTATATATGCAATGACTTTCTGATATATGTAAAAACCTATGCAGGCAAACTCGGACTGGCTTTACATTGTTCCATGGGGGCTCTATAAGGCTCTTATCTGGACAAAGGAGAAGTTCAACAACCCTGTCATGCTCATCGGCGAAAGTGGTACGTAGATCACCAAGTCCCAGCACCTCTTCACCAATTTTCAGAGAATAAACAGCAACATTATTGTGATACAATACAATCTCAAAAGCATGGATATAATCTTGATACAAAATTTAACTATGATATATATTCCCAGGAATTGACCAACCGGGAAATGAAACTTTGCCGGGTGCCCTGTATGACAAGTTCAGGATAGACTACTTCGAGAAGTACCTTCATGAGCTCCAATGTGCTATACGCGATGGTGCAAATGTCTTTGGGTACTTTGTCTGGTCACTGCTGGACAACTTTGAGTGGCGGCTCGGCTACACCGCCAGATTTGGAATTGTACATGTGGACCGAAACACGTTCGTTCGGTACCCCAAGGACTCAGCTCGGTGGTTCCGGAAGGTGATAAAGAACGAAGACTAAAGGAACTGTGTGGTGGCTTGTTTAGTTGCCTTTTTTGGGGCCATGTTTCATGTTTGGTCCTTGTGAATAAAATGTAAGTAGTTTAGGACTTTGAATAAAGACGGTTCTTTTCTTCTCCTTTTTTATATATGATATGATTGTTTAGTACTGAGTTGTATCCAACAAAGTCATGCACTAAATTCATGGACTAAATTTATATATTTTTTGAAACCAACCGGCAGGAGAGCTGCCTGCTATGTTAAAAAGAAGGAACCACTAAATTTATATAAGATACTGAATAAAACAAAAGTTGGAACACAAAAGTTTCTGTCAACAAGAATAATGTTCCAGATCATATAGATACTACACATAGAAATGATTCCACAAAAGTTAACATCCGGAAGGTGATAAAGAACGAGACGAACTAAAGGAGCTGTATGGTCACTATAGCATGTGTATTTGTTTAGTTGCGTTTTGGGGGCCATCAGTTTGGTCTTTTGAATAAAATGTCAAGTAGTTTATTAGGACTTCGAATAAAGATGGTTCTTCTCTTCTCGTTTTAGGGCTTCATGCTCTATCTTATTTTGATTTGATGATTGTTTAGTACTGAGTAGTACCCTTTTATCGGTGTAGAAAGTGACCAACATGTAAATATTTGTAGTTTTACCATACGTTGTGATCGGAGGTGGCCTAGCACTCAATGACACAGGATTTATACTGGTTCAGGCAACGTGCCCTACATCCAGTTTGAGTCAGTCAGTGACTTTATTCCTGAGCCTAGGTGCTTATCGTTTGTAGTAGGGTTACAAACGAGAAAGAGAAAGATGGGGGTACAAGAGGTCCGGTCGGACTCCGATCGGAAGGGCCGAGGGTGACGGGAGCCCCGCTATGAGTTAAGTATTCAAGCGTGTGCTTGTGGTTTGAAACTGACGGTTCTGTTATTGTGTGCTAGTGAACTTGATCGATCTAATGAATCTTAGTGAGTCTGAATGAATCTGTTTGGGAGAGAGCGCATCCCCTTTTATAGATGAAGGGGATGGCCTTACAAGTGAGAATGAGAGAGTACGGATGCTACTAAGCCTTGTTGCCTACGCCGATGGGTACAGGATGATGGTAGGCACCCACAATACTGTTGAATGTCAGATGTACGTGGGAGGTTGTGTTGTCTTCTTCAGGTATGACAGACGTCGACGCCTGCCACACTGTTGATACCTGGAGGTATGCAAGGGGTTTTACCATGTTCACCTGGTACGGTAAATGCCGACGCCCACAACACTGTTGATGCCCAGAGGCATGTGGGGGAGCCTTACCGTATAGGAGTTAATGGCGCCCATAATACTGTAGGGGAAAATATCGGTGCCTACAACACTGCTTGGGCTCTGTTTGTGTCAGGGAGGTTATAGAGTACTGTTTCTACAGGTGTACAGGATACGGTCCCCGGTATTACGGTTTGACTTGTGAGCCCTGACTTACTTTCTCTGTCCGTTTCCTGATCCTTACCGAGCGGGCATCCCCGGTCGGTTGGTTCCGGTCGGCTCTGATCGTGCCAGTCGGAGAAGAGTAGTGAGCAGGGGTTTGGCGCATCCCTGGACGGAGACGTGGGTCGGAGTCGGAAGTGTTGTTTGGGCCAGGCCTTCCGGTCGGATAGGCCGTCAGGAGACGGGCTGGAGACCGAAGCAAGCGCTCCGGTCGGAGAGGCGGGCTGGAGTCGGAAGTGGGCACCGTTCCTCCTCGGCCAGGCCTTTCGGTCGGAGATTGGATCGCCATTCTGGCCTGTCGTTTGGGCTCTTGGGCCGGCCCAAGAGCTGTGCGTTCGTTCGTAGCGTTCGTCTGCTGGGCCGAACCTTTGCAGGGAAGCCGGTCCATGAGGCATCCCGGGTTTATGAACATGACAGGAGCCCCCGAGCCCCCGGGCGATTTGGGTAGAATCATCTGGGGGATTTTTGTGTCGATGGCGGGTGCAGCCCCCGAGCCCCCGGGTGATTCGGGCAGAATCGTCTAGGGGTTTTTTTGTGTTGCCTAGGGGGGAAGTTTTCGTTTTGTCAGCGGGTGCACGCGAGCGCACCCGCGGGTGTAGCCCCCGAGCCCCCGGGCGATTCGGGCAGAATCGCCTGGGGGGTTCTGTTAGCGGGCGTGTGTGCGTGTTTTTAGTCGAGATAGAGTCATCAACCAAGGCGTCGTTGCGCAGCTGAGGTGGTTTAGTTTTTAGGGATTGGTAGAGACGGAGCTCGTGGATCCTGGCGTCGGTGCGCGCTGTGGGATCGGGCGAGTCGGAGTCATGGATTCTGATGGGGTGAGTTCACGCCGTGGGATCGGACGAGACGGAGCTTGCGGATCCTGGCGTCATTGCGCGCGTGGGATCGGGCGAGTCAGAGTCATGGATCCTGATGGGGTGAGTTTACGCCATGGGATCGGATGAGACGGAGCTCGTGGATCCTGGCGTCGGTGCGCGCCGTGGGATCGGGCGAGTCGGAGTCGTGGATCCTGTCCGTGGCAGTTTAGTTTTAGGGATCGGATGAGACGGACCTCGTGGATCCTGGCGTTGGTGCTCGCCGTGGGATCGGGCGAGTTGAGTCGTGGATCCTGACGGGGCGAGTTTGGGGTCGCAGACCTAGGCATTTTTGGAGTGCAAGCGTAGCCGAGGGATGGGGCGAGTTCGGGGTCACAAACCTAGGTTTTTTGGAGTGCAGGCATAGCCGAGGGATGGGGCAAGTTTGGTGTCGCAGACCCAGGCGTTTGGTGTGCAGTCAAAGTGTAGCCAAGGGATGGGGCGAGTTCGGGGTCGCAGAGCCAGGCGTTTGGTGTGCCTTGAGCCCCCGAGCCCTGTTGGGCCTTGGTAGGGGTCGGTTTGAGTTATGCATTTACCCATCCTTAGTTTCTCACAACCGGAGGGGCTGAGTGTTGTCGCTTGCCTCGATCGCTCGGGCTCGAGTGACACGTTCGATGAGCTCGCTAACGGGTATGATCGAGTGGAATCCGGGTCCATCATTCGTGATGGGGTCGGCATAGCCCTCTTGTGACATTCCACTGCTCCTTTACCTGCAACCTGGCAGATGCCTGGGTCATTCTAGAGACCGACCCGGTGGCCTGCTGGCCTCCCCTCGATGGAGATTCTGTGAGCTTGGCGAGAGGTTTAGGATCGAACGAGAAGGTTGAGATGACCCTATCTGCTTTGGGGCAGACTGGGCGAGGGCCACACGGGGCTCATCTGTGTTTTCTCCCCTGGCTCTGTTTGACGTGGGGCATCCTCGAGCCCTTTGTGGGCCGGCCTTCGAATCCCGGTCGGTCGTTGCGCATGTTGAATGAGGCAACTGCCGCTTCATGACGCAACACGGAGCGTTGTGATGCATTTCGCCGCATGTGCGATGCTTTAGTTCCCGAGCCCCTGGGCGATTCAGGGCCCGAATTGTCCGGGGGGCACGGGCATATGGAATGAATGCATGTATGGACGTATGAATAACTATAAAGAAATAGTGGGGTTCGGTAGTGTTACCTTGATGACTCGAGTGACGGGGCCTGAAGAGCTCCAATCGAAAATGTCCGACCGGGACCCATGCTAGTCGTTCGTGATGGAGTCGGCATGGCCTACATGGGGCATCCCTTTGCTCCTTACCTGCCTCTCAGTGTTTTTCTGAGCCATTCAATCTACTTAGGAAGCCTGATGGTCTCTCCTGGCAGAGATTCCGTTGTTTGGGTTTTCCCAAGTCCTGCCTGGGGAGGCGGAGAGCCGCCTGCGCGTGGTGACACTTTGGTTTTTGTGCCCAGCACACGGTAGTGGTGGGCCATACCCAGGCAACGTCCTGTCGGACCAGTCGTTGTTCTGTCTGACCAGGCGTCGTTCCGTCGGTCAGTGCATGTCCCATCGGTCAGGGTGTGTCCCATTGTTTCCCATCCGCATTGAATGGGGGAAGGGAGAGAGTTTTTTGCTCTGATCTTTTGCCCCTCTTTAGCTGTCACGTTTCCTCCTTAAATAGGCGGAGGGAGAGGCTGCTCGTCGCAGTCCTTTGCCTGTTCTCCAACTATTGCCTTTCCTTCTTCCTCCTCACCGAGAGTGCCTGTATGCCGCGACGGTTCCTAAGTGAGAGAGGTAAGCGAGGGGAGGACTTATAGACCCTTTCATGAATCTAGAGCGTGATGTCGAGCTAGAGGCTGCCCGAGGTGGTGCTGGCCGTCTTTGCCTGAGAAGAGATGGCTTTCGTCGAAGGAGGTAGCGCGGTGGATTCATCTACGAGGCTTTTTTCGGGATGGGTCTGTGTGTGGATTCTTTTAGTGGATCTTCACCGGGCGAGCCTTGTCGGAGGGGAAGTTGCCCAGGATCGTGCTGGTGGAGGGTTCCGTGCCTGCAGTTGCTCAGGTTGGCTAGTTCATAAAGTTTGATGAGATCTCTTCTAGCCATGGTGGCCATACCTCGGTGCCAGCGTCCCTGCCCAGGAGCTGCCTCGACTGCATGAGAAGGTCAGGAGCTCCATGCTCTTCTACTAAGCATCTGTGGGTGCGACATCCTTGAGGTACCCGTTGCGCTCACCGAAGTCGAGGGAGTGGAACTAGGCGGGTCCCTTGAGGTACCCGTTGTGCTCGCCAAAGTCGAGGGAGCGGAACCGGACAGGGCCCTTGTGGCGGTGGTTATGTCCGGCGGTGTGTGTCGTGGTCTCTCCTTTGGTGTCAGGCGATGTCGTCGAGCGGCCACAGTATTATTTGGAGTAGAAGTAGTTAGAAAATGTAATAGTTGAGTTTGTGGGTGAGCCCCCGTGTGAACAGTTTTTGTATCAATGAATACATCAGTTCTGTTTTTGTGACAGAACCACTATCCGTTCCTCGTTTTTTTATCCTAGCATAGCTCTTGTTTTTATCCTTTCTTTTTTGCACCTGCCCATTAGTTCCGTAGGCTGCAGCTTTTAAGAACCTGGGCATGGCCCACAGGGCTCGGCTGCTTGTAACCGTAGGTCATGGCAGGCTGCATTCGATTAGGAGTAAGAACAAAGTTACGTAGGGCAATCAAAGGAATGGAATGCGCTTCCGTT